AATCACTTTAATTGGATATTTCATTGTATATGAAAAGAAGCGTACCAAATTCACACAATCACTTTAATTGGATATGCCATTGTATATGAAAAGAAGCGTACCAAATTCACACAATCACTTTAATTGGATATTTCATTGTATATGAAAAGAAGCGTACCAAATTCACACAATCACTTTAATTGGATATGCCATTGTATATGAAAAGAAGCGTACCAAATTCACACAATCACTGTAAATGGATATGTCATTGTATATGAAAAGAAGCGTAGCAAATTCACACAATCACTTTAACTGGATGTGTCGTTGTATATGAAAAGAAGCATACCAAATTCACACAATCACTTTAACTGGATGTGTCATTGTATATGAAAAGAAGCGTACCAAATTCACACAATCACTTTAATTGGATATGCCATTGTATATGAAAAGAAGCGTACCAAATTCACACAATCACTTTAACTGGATATTTCATTGTATATGAAAAGAAGCGTACCAAATTCACACAATCACTTTAAATGGATATTTCATTGTATATGAAAAGAAGCGTAGCAAATTCACACAATCACTTTAAATGGATATATCATTGTATATGAAAAAAAACGTACCAAATTCACACAATCACTTTCAATTAATAAATTAAAAATAGAAATTCATAAACATACACATACATACAAACTCCTAGTGAATACAGATTGATGCTTCGGTCACTGTTAGCCGTCTTTCTCAAATCTTGTTTTGTTTTAGAACGTTTCACGCAAGGCTACCGAAATGATACCTGAACTGATAAACTACAGGAAAGGCAAGCATCGCTAGCTGATGGACTTCTCTTGTCTGACCGAATACTGAGATTTGACCGTTACTCTTATAGTTTATCCATGAAAGGTTCCAAAGTGCACAGCACGTTTCTGCGGTAACGGACCTTCATTTTCCAAGGCTTCTCTCTTACAGACAGACAAACCACACATGGAGAGGCTTAGCTTAGACTAGAGAAATAACTATAAAACACATGTTACTTAAACGTAGCTCAATGATGATATTCCAAAGCACGAAAGAGCAACAGAAACAGTTAGTATCAGAGAAAGAAACCCAACAACCCGAGCGCTTTCGGAAAGTTCACTTTACCTTCATCATGGGTTAAATGGCGAACTTGTCATTTAACCGCTGATGAAGAAAAGTTTACTTAAACGCAACTGCTACTCCTAAACAGCGCGCCAACATTCTCACTCTACTATATTTTGACTGTCGTTTAAAATAATTAGATGTATCTGAATTGGATGGAGTTGTTTAAACATTTGTTTAACGAGTAAAATGTATCTTTTTTTGTATCCTAAAATTAAATGTATCCTTTTTCAACCCTTTATCTAAGCTCAATGTTAAGGTTAGTATTGATTAACCACTAGCTTTTTTTTTCAGTAATAGAGGTAAATATGTTGAAATTTAAGAGTTTTATTAATATGTACTATGTAATAATGTAAAAACATGCGACACGCGTAAATCTTTCCGAAGATTATCCATACATCTTAACGAGGTACGATAAGACAACACACACTACATACTTTCTGATTAATCATGAAGAAAACCACACATTGAAATGTAATAATATCCACCAATTCCCTCCAAAGATATCACCATAGTAATGGCAGACAATAAATCTTACCGAGCATCACCGATCATTGTTTAGCACAAACACAATGTACAGGTTTGCCTCTTGGAAAATGCGATAGTGCATAACGCAGTGAACACAACATTATCTCCATTCCCAGAATAAATTAATTACAAAACAGTACATTAATCACTTCACTATACACGAATTAACATATATATATTATGAAACATAAAAGACCTATGACTGAGACTTGTTATGACGAGCCTAGCTTGTGTATTTTGGTTATAGCAAAGCCACATCGGGGTATCTGCTGCGTCCACCGAAGGGAATCGAACCCATGATTTTAGCTTTGTAAATCCCAAGATTTACCGCTGTTCCACCGAGGGACGCGAGCCCAGCACTAACTTCTACGTATTGTTACATAATTTCGAATAAATTCTCAAACAGGAATATCGAATTAGATCTATAAAATAAGAAGACATAGGAAGGGAATGTCTGAGATACCTCAGTGCATTAAAGTTATTCACATAATAAGGTTAAACATTATATGCAATTTAATCAGCTACATGAATTTACATACGAGTTTTCGATTTATTTTGTAAAAATATAAAAATCGATGCGCATTTATAATGATAAATTAATATGCAAATCACCACCGATTTTACCGAATGAATAAGAAAGTGGGATCAATATATCTATAAATCCTGTTTGTTAAAGATTGCTAGAGATTCAGTGAAGTTATCAAGTTAACAAAAAATGCTATATACTTATGTCAATGTTCAAGAAATGTTAGCAAAATCATTCACTTTATATATAAACGCACATGGGCTCACTTATTGCTATACATATCAATCACCTCTGTTAAAGATATGAACAGTTTCAAAACCCTAATTTATTATGTGAATGTCATGTTATTTGCAGCAAATGCTCATTTATTGATACAGATATCAATCACCACTGTTAAAGATATAAACAGATTCAAAACCTTAATTTATTATGTGAATGTCATGTTATTTGCAGCAAATGCTCATTTATTGATACAGATATCAATCACCTCTGTTAAAGATAAAACAGCTTCAAAACCTTAACTTATGATGTGAATGTCATGTTATTTGTAGCAAATGCTCATTTATTGACACACATATCAATCACCCCCTGTTAAAATACAGCTTCAAAAACCTTAATTTATTATGTGAATGTCATGTTATTTGCAGCAAAAACCCATTTACTGTTATACATATCAATCACCTCTGTTAAAATATAAACAGCTTCAAAACCTTAATTTATTATCTGAACGTCATGTTATTTGCAGCAAAAACTCATTTATTGCTATACATACCAATCACCCCCTGTTAAAGATATAAACAGCTTTAAGACCTTAATTCATCATGTGAATGTCATGTTATTTACAGGAAATGCTCATTTATTGATACACATATCAATCATCCCCCTGTTAAAATACAGCTTTTAACTCTAGTGTCCAGAATTACATACTTTTGTGTTTCCTAATTTTGAACTCTAGTTACCACTTCTCTGCTATTTTCTTTTTCTTTTCAAGCAACAAAACCACTAAAGTACGAAAAAAGAACTTCGATTTTTTTTGTTGTTATGAGAATTACAAAATAACATACTTTAGATAATGAATAACGACTTTTTCTGTGGATAATCGATAAATTAATCTGCATGAAATTTGTGTATCAGTAGCTTCCTTTTGTAATATTTAAACTGAAGTTCTTGTTATAATTCACTGGAATATTAAGTATTCCAAGTTGTTTTTAAGTTATTATTACTTCCTTTACACATAACAGAAAATCTTTACAAAATAAATCACCTTAACTAACGATGTGTTCTATTATTAATGACAAATTCAAGGTTAATATATAAAGCCAAAGAACTGCCCCCGCCAATGTAACAACGGTAAACCAAGCTTTTGTTACTGGTGGTAGGCAAAGCAAAGATAGCCCAATATGTTGCTTTACGCTTAACATCACCACCTCCACCCCTTACCCCCCCCCCCAAAAAAAACAACAGCCAAAAACGAAACTAAAACCAGTAACTTAGCTTCCGTTGTAGGAAAAAATAATAATTATATTTAGGGATTTAAGTTGAGCTCAGGTTTTTAAGGATTTTCAAAACTTAATCAAATATTCAGAAAAAGAAAATCATCGAATGGCACCTAACGAACGACTAAGGACAAAAATAAACATTTCCATATAAAGGTTTTGTTTAAAAAATAAAACGATTATTTTTCCTAAAATTGCGTTCTTTTATCTTAATGGTAATATTCGTTGTGTTTAATGGAAAGAAATTAAAACAGAAGCTAAGATCAGGGAACAGCTGTAAACCTGTCACTCTTTCCTCCAGGTTAGGGAGCTCGACTCGCAATCTGCGGGTCGCGGGTTCGAATCCCCGTCCCACCAAACATGCTCGCCCTTTCAGCCGTGGGGGCGTTATAATTTGACGGCCAATCCCACTATTCGTTGGTAAAAGAATAGCCCAAGAGTTGGCGGTGGGTGGTGATGACTAGCTGCCTTCCCTCTAGTCTTACACTGTTAAATTAGGGACAGCTAGCGCAGATAGCCCTCGTGTAGCTTTGCGCGAAATTCAAACAAACAAAGAATATTCTAGGATTAGTTAACTTCTGGGACCAACGATATTCGTATGCAATATTCCAACATTTGTTAACTTGTAGGAGCAACAATAACCATAAACAATAAGCCAATATAGAATAACACTTGAAAGTAACAATATATATATATATATATATATATATATATAGTGTCATATGTAGTTTGCCAACATTGGTTAAGCACTTATAATGAGAACCTTTATCTGTTACTTGATAAGTGTCCAGCATAAATTGATCTAACAGTTTCGGACTTATACTTAAAAGATGTTAAATTTTAAACACCAATTCATTTCTGAAGTTTAGTACTTTTAGTGATATACAAGTAAACGTGTTAATCTTTACAAAAATGAAAAGCTTTTTCTTGCAATGTTGCAGTTACACATTTTAGTAAACACTAAACAGTTCACTAAAAACAGTATTTTTTTTTGATAGAACCAACAGAAGGCAAAAGGAAAAAAGAAACCACAATCCACACCCAGCTCTCCATCACGAGGACGGGAACCTCAGTGTACCTGCATGACAGCAGAAAACCTCCACCGTGCACGAAATGGTCGCGTCCGATACACAGGAGGCGCTGCCACTTTACCACGTGCTCAATCACGAGCCGAGGGGGAGTCGAAAACAACTTATGATAGAGGACGTCTCTCAGCACACCCTTCAACGACTTCTGTGTACGACAACGTGGGGTCGTCATCCTTGAGACGGGGGACAACAACTGCCAGTGTCCATGGCCAGTCAAAAACCACTAAAGGTGAGGCTAGTCAAAAATCTTCTCAAGCAAGCGATTCCCGCCTCACTTCGAACTCTCGCTCGAATCAAGCGCGAGCTCACTATGCCCTGTCTTCCCGGAATGAGCAAACAAAGAGTATCGACTGTAGCTCAATCTCTTTAGAACGACAAAGCTCAAAGCAAACAGAAGAAATACAACCTTCTTCTCGCTCAAAAAGTAAAAGTTCCAATGACGTCAACCAGCAGGCACAGGGTGGGGATTTGACTGACCTTAATCTCGACAGCAATACTCTCAAACGCATGCTACACCCTCTGCCATCTAAACCATCGGTACACAGTTCCCTTGATCAAGATACCCAAACAACAAAGACAGCCAGTACTCGTGGGTCTAGAAAAGATGAAGGAGAGGAGTCACGTGTGCGCAGCGTGTCAGTTCCCCGTTGTCACAATAGCAAACCAGTTGTTCGGGACAAATCCAATCGTTCTGAAACTGGAAGACGACGTAGTCTTGAACGCACTATGTGTCTGGATCTCACAGATGGGGAACAGTCTCCTCCCTCAGACAACTTTATTTACGATAACCTGTGCTATGCCACAACCCCAAGTTCAAGCAACGAGAACAGTGACGCCCCCTACCTGAGTTCTGACGAAGGAGGTCAAACATCAGGAATTCAACAGGAAGCTCCATCGTCCCCAACCAGTAAACTTCTAATGGAATATGAAACGCATCTAAGAAATGCATTAGCCCGAGGCCTAGATGCTGAGAGCTACAGCCTGCAGACTTTCGAAGCTCTCTTGTCTCACAGCATGGAGAATGTTGGTAAGTATTAACATGAAATCCAAGTGAAACAGGGACAAGGTGGATATTACCATTGTGTATATTCATAGCACTTGTACGTAAAATAGAAAAACAAATGCAGTATCTACTTGAAAAATAAGCTGTACCTAATACAGAATGAAAAATAACCGATATTTAATATCAGATGTATGTAAAACATAAAAAACATAATGTTAGCAGTATATCTAAAACAAAAATACGGCAAATGAAGCTATACCCCAAACATAATACAAATCAGAGGTTGAATACGTTATATTAAAACGATTTTCGAGCCAAACCACATCGTTATGGCTATTGTTACCACGTTTGATCATGCTGTGTCTGACGATCATGCATCTTGACAATAGTCCTGCAGCGTAGTTTCACTGCAAGAGGCTTTGAAGTAAGGCTGTCATACCCAAGGCACACCAATCCTACCTGCTGGCTTTCCATAATCCATCTAATGTACAATGAAAACGGTTTCTCAATGCCTGTTTCAACAGTCAGATCACACAGATATTCATTGGTGACACCTTCTTATGGAAAAGCGGGAATACTCGTTTCATTCTTCAAATGCTTAAGGTATCTGATGGTTTAACGGAAGGTATGGCTGAAAATCTTATCTTGGTGAACCCATAACCTGTTGTCCTCGTTTCCAACAGAGATCCTTCTTGATTGTGTTGTGCACTTGGACAGGGATAAGTGGACGGCTTTTGCCACTTCCAATTTTCCCCTGCTACAAGACTCCACACTTTGCTTACCATGGCTGAGGTACAATTTGTTGCAGGTCTCTTTCTGGATGGTCCTGGTACCTCAAACTGATCCATATTCTTTTGTTTTCCAGGTGCAAGGGATATCCCCGTATTGGAAATTCTAAAGCCCCGATCTAAACATATCTTTATGACCTAAGTGTTTTAATTGAATGTGCACAACTTGGTTCATTGGACCGATCCCATATTGAAGGAGGAATGTTGACTATAATTCCGAATTTGCTAAAATTATCTAGACGAAATGTGGCGAGCTTTTTTTTTAAATGTACAAGTCTGAGGCACACAAAAAATCAGGTGTGTTACAAAAGTATTTGTCTCAATATATATCTGTGAATTGATGGCATTAATATGATTCAGACTCTGGGAAGTCGGAGTGCAAGGTGATGTTCATGTGAAAGAAAAGAGGGAGTCCTCTAAAGCCACGGCTGTAATTAGATCTCAAATCGGTCAAGAGATGGAGCTATGAGTTAAAACTTTGTACATGAAAAAAAATTAACTGTGCCGCGGCTAATAAGAATACATTGGTCCATTTTACATTTTGCATATTGCATAACGTTTAGAAACTCTTAAATGCATATCTACATTTGTTGTTTTTTTCAGTGTATCTGTGTATTGTATCACGTATTTACTCTTCTCAACCAGAAGGTGTTGCTAAAGCAGCAATATAGGGTAAAATTAATAGTTGATAACTCTGACATCAAGTATGTAATAGCACGTTGAATGACACTCTGTAAAAGATCGTGGAATGTGCACTTTAACTCCCACTCGTCCATATAGGGTTAATATTTTTATGTCGGAAAGGGCTGTTACATACCCTTCAAATAATCGATCAATTTTACGGTGACAATACACTGCATATAATTTGTTTTTCTTTGTTAATAGTTAAGCATAAAGCTACACAATAGGCTATCTGTGCTGTGCCCACCACAGGTGTCTAAAACCGATACCCTGTCTTTATCGTTATAAGCCGCTTACTGCTGTACCACTGGGGTGAGCTGGGGGCACTACCTAGAAAACGCCAAATAATGTCAAAATATTGTTCTGATACAATCCGCGACACTTTATATCGGCTGTGATTGCTACCCAATTTGCTGACTTGAATATTCCAAATCGTTTTAACAAAACGTACTCAACCCTGTATCTGCAGATATTCATACTTATAAAATTCATGCAGTTAATTAAAAAATAAGAAACACAGTATTAAACATTGAAACTATCAAAAGATATAACTATCAAAATGCCTTTTCTTGAAACACTACCACTGCTATGGCGAACGTTTTAGTAGGATATCTTATAATGATTAATATCAACCAATATTAACATATATATATCATTTTAATATATTAAATAACTTTTGTTTTTACAGATGTGTTACATGAACTTAATTATATCATAGAGCTAAATACTTTGGTATAAGTAATTTACTTAACCACCAACAAACGTAATAACGAAAGCAAATTTATCTTTTTACCAAGAGAAACATTTAGGTGACAACGTATCAAAACCTCATCTATCTACTGACCTTTAAAAAACCAATCAAACATCTAACTGTCAAATGATAAAACAAAACAGAAAACCAGTCAGAAGAGAAATATATCTTTCTATGAAATCATTAACCTAACTGATAACAGAAAACTTACAAACAGAACAATCTGCTTATCGACCAACCAAACTCCTAATCCCCTAGCAACAGAATCAAAAAACAGTTTTAACATCATAGCAAGTTTCACCTAACAAAACACCCATGGCTATCCATATATCTTAAGATGTAAAACTTGAATTTTTGAAGTTGAAAAAGTGATATTTGAAGATTTTTTGTTGAATACCAAATCATGACATTTTATGACATGTAAAGTTAATTAAACACGGTTATCTAGAGAATACTTAATATACCCAAATACTTGTTCACACCCAATCTTATTAATGAAGAGAATTACTTTTCAGGCATTTCCAGTTCTGAAATTGGAATGCTTTTATTTGCATATTTGAATAATTTCAGAAGAAAACAGAAATTTTAGTCTGACACTTTGTTCGTGATCATTTCTTTGTTTTTGAATCTAAAAGTTAAAAGCTGTTAAAGAAAATACTATTGTTGTTCATTTATGCATATTTTCTATTTTACTCTGTTTTATTTTGCTTTTTTTAGAAATATATATATAAATTGGATTTGAATTTCAACTTTAATCCTCAACTTCAACAAAGAATGCGTAATTCAGAATATCGGAAAAGGGGGAATTTTATTACTGTCTTAAAGCAGTTAAAAAATAAATCGAATCATGACTATTATATTACCCATGGTTGCAGTTTTTTTCTGTCGGTATCTTTGGTTAACTCGTATATTTTGTGAGCTGACATTATTATCTTTTATGCAAAATTATACATTTCTCGTGCGTTATGCGCGATCAATTTCGCTCCCGCTCGTGGGTTCATGGTATAAGTTTCAGTTACGTTGCAAGTTGAATTATTTCCGGTTAACAAGCTTTATCGAAAGTAGTTAGTAGTTTCGTAATGTCAATTTCTCCATGAAATATCACGTGTTCGATTATGTGGAGTGAAATATACATATGTATGTTTGAGATATACATATGTGTATGTGTGTTTCCAAGTATAATCTCTCTGCCAAATATGTTACATATTACATTATTTACAAAACTAATTTCAAAAATTCTCAATTTGACTTTCAATCAAAAAACGTTTTCTTCATGTCACGCTGCTTTTAACAGTATTGTAATATTATTTTTCATATGATCATTCACTTAAACAGATGTTGAAAAGCACTTTTTGTTATCGGTCTCAACCCTCACTTCCGTTTATCAATCTCTTTCCAGCTCCAACTTAATAGAGATTGTATTTCCAACATTAAGTCCTTTCGATTCACTTAATTCCATATATGGTGCAAGCATGCTTTATTTAAACTTGTATTGATACTCTACATAAGTAAATATACTCTGAATAATCCAACTTTTCTTGAGTTCGATTTTATTAGCTCAAGAAGTAAAGTAAATAAACAAACAAGTCCGAGAAACTTCTAAACTCAGACACGAACAATAGGAATACTGGTTGATTACAAAACGTAAGTTATAAAATATTTTCCATTGATAAAAAACGCCATAACTTTTCAAATTCCGTAAAATTATCCCCAGTGGCTTAGCGATAGGTGAGAAGGCTTATAACGTTAACATCCGGTTTCGATACCCGTAGTTGGAACAGCAGTGACAGCTCATCGTGTAGCTTTATGCTTAATAATAAACAAAAACTTCGCAAAATACCAGAATTCATCACTCATAATATATATATATATACGTATTGAATAATACTTTTAGGTTTGCTGTTAAGAAAATACATAACTGTTTCAAAGGAATGTGCTTCTTTCTTGTTTTATGTTAAGTTACTGGATACAAAGTTTCGAGGATTTTACGTTTCCTACACATTTGTTTCGTAGAAATCTTGAACTTTAGTTCAAGTGAATTACATTATTCTGGACGTGCACTATTATTAGAAAACGGGGATTTATTTTGTTGAAATTTGCAGAAATTTTCATTATAGTATACGGGAAAAATGGTGTGCATTTCCACGACATTTTGATATAGTATAAACAGAAACCGATTATTAAAATATTACTAAAATCAAACAAAATGCGGACGGTTTCGCTATTTCATCTGGTTAAGTGGTGAGAACACAATGTTTAATATCCGGTCTTGTGACACAGGATTTTTAAAATAATAAATTATGGTAAGTTTCATAACAGATATGCATCATTTCAAGACATAAATTTTATAGATATACATATCAGTTTACTGAATTTTCAGCTTTCATTCCACACAAAGAAAAAACCTCTACGTTCAAAGGCAATTTTTTTTCCCTTTTTTGTTCAATGTGTCGGCGAGAATTGAGCATTTTCTGAAAATTAAATTTTATACATATAAAAACTTGTTCATAAGCTAGTGTGTTATTATTACTCCTTGATATTTATATTGTTTCACAGTTTAAGTATTTGTTTATATTGTTTCGCATTGTAACTGTAGATCTATAGTTTCGCACTATATCAATATAGTTTCTAGTATACGTATGTTTGTTTGCATTTTATTTCACGGTGACTTTACATTCTTTCATAGTATGTGAACGTAGTTACATTGTTTCAAAGTATAATTATAATGTATTTACATTGTTTTACGGTGTAAGTGTGCAACTATATTGTTGCCCAATGAAAATCTGTATTTCTATTTTTTCATA